ACAGCCATGAATAAAGAATGGTACCAACACATCCTCCGAGAGCAACTTCTCCCAACAGTTTGGTGACGACCAATGCCTTTTCCAGCATGATGGAGCACCTTGCCATAAGACAAAAGTGATAACTAAGTGGCTCGGGGAACAAAACATTGACATTCTGGGTCCATGGCCAGGAAACTCCCCAGACCTTAATCCCATTGAGAACTTGTGGTCGATCCTCAAGAGGCGGGTGGACAAACAAAAACCCACAAATTCTGACAAACTGTCCACAATTACTTTTCATCAGCCAACAAGATGAGTAGGCCTAACGAACAGCAAAAGCACTAGCCTATGTCAATCTACTATCTCCCATAGTACAAAAGTCTACCTATTCTGTGCGAGAAATAAATATTCCAAACATAGTCTGGGACAGTTGTGGGATGCGATAGATCCCAAATTAATACAACCACTAGCATCAAACTTTTTTTACGCAATGTGGCTGACGCAACAGATCAGAACGTTTTTAGCTTAAATAACCTAATAGTTTATCAACATTTTTATTTTAAGAAGTTATTTGGCCACTTTAGTTGGGATACAAACTATGGGCTAGGCTACATGAGGTGTGCGACTATGATTTAGAAAACGTCACAAAAAAAAGGCATTGTTTCTTATGCTGGGCATCATTCACAAGTGATAATATATAACTCACAAGTGACAGGCTAATATTGTCACCATCAGACTATTATTGATTTAATCTTGTCTGTACATATCCTAAATAATATGTGTGACATTTGTCTTGATTTAGAATGGACCATTATCATGCACCTGTCTCGAAACAGGGTCAGCGGGAAAAAATACATGTCATGTATGCACTTAAATAGCGAATGGAGGACGCTTTTCCCCGTGGTTTATTTTCATGCCAGCCAGGTAGGCTATACTCCTGTTGTAAATATAAGCAATGTGCTTAATATTAGGAAAGTTGAGAAATAATGTAGTAGGCCTAGCCTATAGAAAGCTGATCCTCCTCTTTTTAGTAGAGGCCATCACTCTGTTTTCTCGCTTAATTGCATAGCCTATTTGAAATGTTGCGCAACATGAGCTCATGGGCTCTTTTGCATTGATGTCAGAGTGATTTAGAGGGACAATAGAGTGCTGAGTACCAGGCAGTTAGCAAGTTTAGGTAGGCTACTAATGACCATCAGCAGCATTAGAGCTCGGAGAAGCCTAATAACCGTGAGTAAACGGTCACGTGGAATTTGACTGCCTTCATGACTCGTGACCGCCGGTGTGGCGGTAACACGGTCACCGCAACAGCCTTAGATGTCACCAGGTTGCTTCCCGTGGCTGTGAGTCAGTCACCGGGGGCTGATACTGTCATGGTTCATATTGGGTCGAATGACATTATGAAGGGCAGCTCAGAACAGCTGAAGATGGATTTTAAAGAACTGATTGGGACCAACAGACGCCCCATAATATCTGTCCCTCTGCCCTCCCTAAATGGTGGCATTGAACGGTTCAGCAGACTTTTAGCCCTCCATAACTTGCTACGAGACTACTGCAGCTCTGTGGGTGTAACATTTATTGACAATTTTGATACCTTCTGGAAACAAAGCTTGTATTATAAGGAAGATTAGATCCACCCAAATCATTTTGGTTCCTGGATCCTTTCACAGCATTATAAGGCTGCGTTGAGACAATGACTTATCAATGACCCAAGTCCAGCTAATTTAATCCCTACCATTGTGTCGCTGAGTTGTCATAATGCTTCAGCAAATGTACATTATCCTAGGGGTGTTGGAAGACACAATGTAAGTAACTTAATTTATGTCCCTCTTACTGCCCGGAATGCCTCTGCTTATCCTACAGCTATTGTATGCAGTAATCATCTGTCTATGAACCAGAGTAATGCTGTTTGCACTGAGCTGGTGTGCCCTAGTAGGAAGTCCACTGTGTGCAGCTCACCCTGCACTAATACAAATAACTTGTGCATGTCTACCTCTGCTAAGCTTCCCAGTAAAGAAATAAAAATAATGAAGCATCCCAGAAAAGTGTTAAGAAACCAGGTCCATGAAATCAATAATTTGCTATTAACAAATGACATTCATATTCTGACAATATCTGAAACTCACATAGATAATACCTTTTGATGGTACAGTGGTAGCAATACATGGTTATAAGATCTACAGAAAATACAGAAATGCCAAAGGTGGAGGTGTGGCTGTTTTTATATTCAGAACCACATTCCTGTAAAGCTTAGAGAGGATCTCATGTTAAATACTGTTGAAGTAATATGGCTACAGGTTCATCTGCCTCACCTAAAGCCCATTCTGGTGGGAAACTGCTATAGACCATCAAGTGCTAACAGTCAGTATCTGGATAATGTGTGAAATGCTTGATAATATATGTGATATCAATAGAGAGGTATACTTTCTGGGTGATTTTTAAATATTGACTGGCTTTCATCAGGCTGCCCACACAAGGGAAAGCTTCAAACTGTAACTAGTGCCTGCAACCTGGTTCAGATTATCAATCAACCTACCAGGGTAGTTACAAACAGTACAGGAATGAAATCATCAACATGTATTGATCATATCTTTACTAATGCTGCAGAAATTTGTTTGAAAGCAGTATCCAAATCCATTTGGATTTAGTGATCACAATATAGTAGCCATATCTAGGAAAACCAAAGATCCAAAGGCTGGGCCTAATATAGTGTATAGGAGGTCATACAATACGTTTTGTAGTGATTCCTATGTTGTTGATGTAAATAATATTTGTTGGTCTGTGGTGTGTAATGAGGAGCAACCAGATGCTGCACTTGACACAATTTATGAAATTGCTTATCCCAGTTACTAAGAAGCATGCACCCATTTTAAGAAATTTGCTAAAAACGGTTAAATCCCCGTGGATTGATGAGGAATTAAAAAATTGTATGGTTGAGAGGGATGAGGCAAAAGAGATGGCAAATAGGTCTGGCTGTACAACCGATTGGCAAACGTACTGCAAATTGAGATCATGTGACTAAACTGAATAAAAAGAAGAAGAAACTATACTATGAAACAAAGATAAATGACATAAAAAGCTTTGGAGCACCTTCAATTAAATGTTGGGCAACAAGGTAAACTCCGCTCCATCATTCATTGAATCAGATGGCTCATTCATCACAAAACCAACTGATATTGCCAACTACTTTTAATGATTTTTTTTATTGGCAAGATTAGCAAACTTAGGCATGACATGCCAGCAACAAACGCTGACACTACACATCCAAGTATATCTGACCAAATTATGAAATACAAGCATTGTAATTTTGAATTCCGCAAAGTAAGTGTGGAAGAGGTGAAAAAATGGTCTATTAACAATGACAAGACACCGGGGTCTGACAACTTGGATGGAAAATTACTGAGGATAATAGCGGACGATATTGCCACTCCTATTTGCCACATCTTCAATTTAAGTCTACTAGAATGTGTGTGTCCTCAGGCCTGGAGGGAAGCAAAAGTCATTCCGCTACCTAAGAATAGTAAAGCCCCCTTAACTGGCTCAAATAGCCGACCAATCAGCCTGTTACCAACCCTTAGTAAACCTTTGAAAAAAATGATGTTTGACCAGATAAAATGCTATTTTACAGTAAACTAATTGACAACAGACTTTCAGCACGCTTATAGGGAAGGACATTCAACAAGCACAGCACTTACACAAATGACTGATGATTGGCTGAGAGAAATTGATGATAAAAAGATTGTGGGGGCTGTATTTGCAGTGGCAGATTAGCTGGTTAGAGCTAAAAAGGCTAATAACAGTAATGCCTTTTTTTTACAGCTAGCTAAGAAGCTAACTGAACTCTGTAGTGGTGGGGCGTGAGGCAGAGTTGAGTGAAGCAGCTTCAACTGTAAACTTGACCCCGTCCTTATAAATCTAAATAAAATATTACAGGTATCTCGTTATTCACTTAGCCTACCACAGAGATGAGCAGCATTTTTTCCCCACTTTTTATGGAAACCCAAAGTAGTCATACCTAACCGCCCGGTGGCTTTCCATAGCCCCCTACACACACACACACACCGCAGCGTGCTCTGATATAGCACAGATTTCGCTCCAGCCTGTCACACAATCATTATAACTTTTTTTTTATAGGGACATCAAACTAAAATTGTGGCGGCACAAGTTTCAACTGAGGGGCGAAGCTCCCTTTTTGCCTCCTTGTGGAGCAGAGCTGTTTTATCACAGATATCCTGTGCTTTTTCATTTGGCGCGTTCAGACACCGCTACATTGGTATGGGGCTCAGCCAGGGCTGTTAATTTTGTAACTGAAAGAAAACATTTTATTTTATTTTATTGTGATTTAACTGATTTTTGAAGTTGGGGAAAATAGATGGCAAAAATGCAGAATGGTGTTAAATAAATGCCTGTGAACAGCTTGGGGAGGAAAACTATTTCACAGATTTAATCATGTAATATTAAGTCTACTGATCATTGACTGACTGGTCCGTTGTGACAAAGCTCTTTAAAAGAAAAGGAGAAAAAAAATGAGGATGACTCTACCTACATGTGTATTTACCCTACTGTTTATACCAAACACATGCCTGGATACAGCCCTTAGCCATGGTATATTGGCAATATACCAATATACCCCCCGAGGTGCCTTATTGCTATTAAAAACAGGTTAATAAAAAATGTAATAGCCGTGATATACCACGGCTTTCAGCCAATCAGCATTCAGGGCTTGAACCACCCAGTTTATAATATAACTTAAGGCTAAGGTATACAATATGTTATATTATAGGCAAGCAAAGGTATACAAAAGGTTATATAGGCGAGTTGGTTCTGGTGGAGACTTTGAACGTAGACCCCATAGATATCAACATGATAATACAATTGAGGTTGTCCCACTCAGCGCACCTCAGCTTTATAATGCAAACTCCCTTACGCAAAAGTCCTAATGTCACTGAATGTTTTGAACAGTGTTGTCTAGGTCTACATAATATCACCTGATGTTTCTCATCTGTCTCTCTCTGGCCCAGCAGAAACGGGGAGAGGTGAGCAAAGCTGCCTCGGCAGACAGCACCACAGAAGGAACACCTACGGACGGATTCACTGTCCTCTCCACCAAGAGTCTCTTCCTGGGTCAGAAGGTAGGTACCTCCGCCGCCACTCCGCTACACCTCGCAGCTTCTCCTCATTTGAGATTAACAAAGGGTTCCATGCGTTCAGGGTGATGTCGTTGATAATAGTGTAATGAGGGAAATATGCCAGGAGCCAAGACATTATAGTGGAGAATGTAGAGTGATTGACGCCATCTTATGAATATCTGAATAATTTTTTTATTTACTAAACATTGTTTCCTCATTTCCTAAACAACATTCTTTTTTTTTTTTTTGGTATACCGTTATTTGTTTTGTGTATATAGATGATTTGTTCTGAAACTTTGACTATGGCAGCAAAACGTATAACAGTTTATGGATCAACCTTTCACCTAAAAAAATATGTTTCTCCATGGCCAATCAGCATGTGTTTCCTGTAGGGTTCATGTACAGTGCCTTCAGATAGTAATCATACCCCTCAATTTATTCCAGATTTTGTTGTTAGAGCCTGAATTCAAAATGGATTAAATAGTTTTTTTTTTCACCCATCGACACACAATGCCCCATAATGACAAAGTGAAGACATGTTTTTAGACATTTTTGCAAATGTATTGAAAATGAAACTCATAAATATTAAATTTACATAAGTATTCACACCCCTGAGTCAATACATGTTGGAATCACCTTTGGCAGTGATTTACAGCTGTGAGTCTTTCTGGGTGAGTCTCTAAGGGCTTTGCGCACCTGGATTGTACAATATTTGCACGTTATTATTTTTAATATTCTTCAAGCTGTCAAGTTGGATGTTGATCATTGCTAGTCAGCCACTCAGGAACTTTTCAATGTCGTCTTGGTAATCAACTCCAGTGTATATTTGGCCTTGCGTTTTAGGTTATTGTCCTGCTGAAAGGTGAATTTGTCTCTGTCTGTTGGAAAGCAGACTGAACCAGGTTTTCCTCTAGGATTTTGCCTGTGCTTAGCTCTATTCCGTTTCTTTTTATCCTAAAAAAACTCCCTATGACTTGCCGATGACAAGCATACCCATAACATGATGCAGCCAACACCATGCTTGAAAATATGAAGAGTGGTACTCCGTGATGTGTTGTGTTGGATTTGCCCCAAACATAACACTTTGTATTAGGGACATACATTTTTTGCAGTTTTATAGTGCCTTATTGCAAACAGGATGCATGTTTTGGAATATTTTTTTATTCTGTACAGGCTTTTATCTTTTCACTCTGTTAATTTGGTTAGTATTGTGGAGTAACTACAATGTTGTTGATCCATCCTCAGTTTTCTCCTATCACAGCCATTAAACTCTGTAACTGTTTTAAAGTCACCACTGGCCTCATGGTGAAATCCCTGAGCGATTTCCTTCATCTCCGGCAACTGAGTTAGAAAGGACGCCTGTATCTTTGTAGTAACTGGGTGTATTGATACACCATCCAAAGTGTAATTAATAACTTCACCATGCTCAAAGGGATATTCATTTTCAGCATAAAAAAAAAAAACTTTTACCCATCTACCAATAGGTGCCCTTCTTTGCTTATTGACTCAAGACATTTCATCTTTTAATTTGTAATTAAACGTAATTCCACTTTTGCTATTGTGGGGTATTTTGTGTAGGCCAGTGACACAAAATATCAATGTAATCCATTTTAAATTCAGGCTGTAAGTAATACGTTCTCAAGGCATTGTAAAAGGAGGTCCTTCCAGTGTAGACTGTTAAACCAGTAACACCCCATGAATCCCATGGGATGCGTTCCAAATGGCACCCCTATTGCCTTTACAGTGCACTACTTTTGACCAGGGCACATAGGTCTCTGGTCAAAAGTAGTGCACTATATAGGGACTAGGGTGCCATTTAGGATACATCATGGTTACTTCTACAGTTGAAGTCAGATGTTTACATACACTTAGGTTGGAGTCATTAAAACTCGTTTTTCAACCACTCCACAAATTACTTGTTAACAAACTATAGTTTTGGCAAGTCGGTTAGGACATCTACTTTGTGCATGACACAAGTAATTTTTCCAACAGTTGTTTACAGACAGATTATTTCACTTATAATTCACTGTATCACAATTCCAGTGGGTCAGAAGTTTACATTAAGTTGACTGTGCCTTTTAAACAGCTTGGAAAATTCCAGAAAATGATGTCATGGCTTTAGAAGCTTCTGATAGGCTAATTGACATCATTTGAGTCAATTGGAGGTGTACCTGTGGATGTATTTCAAGGCCTACCTTCAAACTCAGTGCCTCTTTGCTTGACATCATGGGAAAATCAAAAGAAATCAGCCAAGACCTCAGAAAAAAATGGTAGACCTCCACAAGTCTGGTTCATCCTTGGGAGCAATTTCCAAACGCCTGAAGGTACCACGTTCATCTGTACAAACAATAGTATGCAAGTATAAACACCATGGGACCACGCAGCCGTCATACCGCTCAGGAAGGAGATGCGTTCTGTCTCCTAGAGATGCAAATCAATCCCAGAACAACAGCAAAGGAACTTGTGAAGATGCTGGAGGAAACCGGTACAAAATTATCTATATCCAGTCCTATATCGACATAACCTGAAAGGCCGCTCAGCAAGGAAGAAGCCACTGTTCCAAAACTGCCATAAAAAGGCCTACGGTTTGCAACTGCACATGAGGACAAAGATCGTACTTTTTGGAGAAATGTCCTCTGGTCTGATGAAACAAAAATAGAACTGTTTGGCCATAAGGACCATCGTTATGTTTGGAGGAAAAAGGGGGGAGCCTGCAAGCCGAAGAACACCATCCCAACCGTGAAGCACGGGGGTGGCAGCATCATGCTGTGGTGGTGCTTTGCTGCAGGAGGGACTGGTGCACTTCACAAAATAGATGGCATCATGAGGAAGGAAAATTATGTGGATATATTGAAGCAACATCTCAAGACATCAGTCAGGAAGTTAAAGCTTGGTCGCAAATGGGTCTTCCAAATGGACGAAGACCCCAAGCATACTTCCAAAGTTGTGGCAAAATGGCTTAAGGACAACAAAGTCAAGGTATTGGAGTGGCCATCACAAAGCCCTGACCTCATCTTATAGAAAATGTGTGGGCAGAACTGAAAAAGCGTGTGTGAGCAAGGAGGCCTACAAACCTGACTCAGTTACACCAGCTCTGTCAGGAGGAATGGGCCAAAATTCACCCAACTTATTGTGGTAAGCTTGTGGAAGGCTACCCAAAATGTTTGACCCAAGTTAAACAATTTAAAGGCAATGCTACCAAATACTAATTGAGTGTATGTAAACTTCTGACCCACTGGGAATGTGATGAAAGAAATAAAAGCTGAAATAAATAATGATAATAATAATAATAAATATTATTCTGACATTTCACATTCTTAAAATAAAGTGGTGATCCTAACTGACCTAAGACAGGGCATTTTTGCTAGGATTAAATGTCAGGAATTGTGAAAAACTGAGTTTAAATGTATTTGGCTAAGGTGTATGTTAACTTCCGACTTCAACTGTGCATGTGTATCTGAAAGGGGTTCCCCCCCCTCCCTCCTCGCTGCTGCTCCGCTGCATTGAAGACAATCAAGTGCTTTATTTTCTTTGTTTACTTGCTGATGTCACCTCGTACTTTGTCCTCGCAAACGTACGCTAACAAACCAGGCTGCCGCACATGCGCTAAACTAACCAGTTAATCTACAGTTAAACTACAGTTAATCTACTGTAGAGTGGACGCTGCCATAGCTGGCAGCTAGGATGGTGTGAGTGAGAAGGTCTTTGTGGTTCGTGGTTCATCATGCACAACAATGTCTATTTGCTCGTTGAGCCTATTTTGCAGTGAAGTGCCCCTTGTTGAAAGAAAGTTTGGAAAACATCAGAAGTCGATTGCTGTGTTTTAATATCTGTCCAATGATTTTATGCCCAATTCTATAAAACATTTTTGACCTCCTTTTTTATATATTTTAGTTAGATTTGATGGAAAATAAATCTACATTAAATCAATGGAATTCAAATAATTTAGCTGCAGTATGTGGTTGACCGTTAGATGTTCTCCTGCTGTCAGGGCAGAGCAGTTGATGAAGGAGCTAATCACAGATTGCTGCATTTAGTTGAAATCAATGGAAAATAATGAATCAAATGAACGTCATTAACCCTAATTTACTGCTCACTGGTGGTGGGTTCTTCTGACTGAAAGCACACTTTATTCATTCAGATCGAAGTACACGTTGTCTCACTTTGCTAATTTATTGGCTCTGTGTTGTCAGACACAATGGGTGCGGGAAGAGACTCAAGTATAAGTCTTCGTCCCAAACATAGTATTCAGGGTACCATTTGAGGACGTAGCCCAAGTCATTTAGTTGATGTAATGTATCAGTGCCTCTTCCTTCTTTTTTAAAATAGTTTTGTCTTTTGGAGATTTCACAGTAGAAATTAACCAGCATGTATTCATTCATGGAGATATCAAGTCATTTTCTGGGCTATTGTAAACATTTTATTTTGTTTTGATATCCACTCTCTGATGGTGGTACTCTGGTTTGGGATTGTTTTATCCTTCTCTGCTTCTAAATTCTATGGGCAATTTATGTACCTCACTCCCAGTTGCCTAAAATCTGAAGCACCTGGCTCAATACTCAATAACTACGTAATCTGTTCGTTTTTCTAAAAGCCCATGCATGTCTTTCCAGTGCAGTGTCTCAATCAATAGTTTGTCTCAAACTAACAGGCTAATGGGGTAACCATTTTTATTTTCTGCGAGGCTTGCTTTCTGAATCCTGCACTCTTCTAAATACTATTTGGACCAAATCAGTCCTACACTAAGCTGTGGTGTGATCGATCTAATGGCTTTGCTCCCCCCCCCCCACCCCCTCCCTGCCTGCGGGTGGCATGCTCTCTCCCCAGCTAAACCTGGTGCACAGTGAGGTCAGTAACTTGGCTGGCTTTGACGTGGAGGGGGTCATCAACCCCACCAATGCAGACATTGACCTTAAAGATGATCTAGGTGAGCTCCCTTTCACTCTGCGGTTTGAAAGATCCTTGAATGCTGAACTTAAATGGGATACCATCCCCAAATTGAATATTTGTTAGAAACAAATGGATTTCTTCTGAAAAATAATACACACGTTGGATCTCAGGCTTATCCCTCAGATGAAATTCTAGGATTTTGTCAAATCTCTGCAGAGCAGTTGTCACCCCCCCTCTCTGCCTGTCTTGTCTGTCTCTGGATTGGTCAGTCATTCAGTCAGTCAGTCAGTCAGTCTCCCGTGGTCAGTCAGTCAGTCAGTCAGTCTCCCGTGGTCAGTCAGTCAGTCAGTCTCCCGTGGTCAGTCAGTCAGTCAGTCAGTCTCCCGTGGTCAGTCAGTCAGTCTCCCGGGGTGGGTCAGTCAGTCAGTCAGTCTCCCGGGGTCAGTCAGTCAGTCAGTCTCCCGGGGTCAGTCAGTCAGTCTCCCGTAGTCAGTCAGTCAGTCTCCCGTAGTCAGTCAGTCAGTCTCCCGTAGTCAGTCTCCCGTGGTCGGTCAGTCAGTCTCCCGTGGTCGGTCAGTCAGTCAGTCTCCCGTGGTCAGTCAGTCAGTCTCCCGTAGTCAGTCAGTCAGTCAGTCAGCCTCCTGTGGGCGGGCAGTCAGTCAGTCAGCCTCCTGTGGGCGGGCAGTCAGTCAGTCAGCCTCCTGTGGGCGGGCAGTCAGTCAGTCAGGCAGTCTCCTGTGGGCGGGCAGTCAGTCAGGCAGTCAGTCAGTCTCCTGTGGGCGGGTAGTCAGTCAGGCAGTCAGTCAGTCTCCTGTGGGCGGGCAGTCAGTCAGTCAGTCAGTCAGTCTCCTGTGGGCGGGCAGTCAGTCAGTCAGTCAGTCAGTCTCCTGTGGGCGGGCAGTCAGTCAGTCAGTCTCCTGTGGGCGGGCAGTCAGTCAGTCAGTCAGTCTCCTGTGGGCGGGCAGTCAGTCAGTCAGTCTCCTGTGGGCGGGCAGTCAGTCAGTGGGCGGGTAGTCAGTCAGTCTCCTGTGGGCGGGCAGTCAGTCAGTCAGTCTCCTGTGGGCGGGCAGTCAGTCAGTCAGTCAGTCAGTCAGTCAGTCAGTCAGTCTCCTGTGGGCAGGCAGTCAGTCAGTCAGTCTCCTGTGGGCGGGCAGTCAGTCAGTCAGTCTCCTGTGGGCGGGCAGTCAGTCAGTCAGTCTCCTGTGGGCGGGCAGTCAGTCAGTGGGCGGGTAGTCAGTCAGTCTCCTGTGGGCGGGTAGTCAGTCAGTCTCATGTGGGCGGGCAGTCAGTCAGTCAGTCAGGCAGTCAGTCAGTCAGTCAGTCTCCTGTGGTCAGTCAGTCAGTCAGTCAGTCAGTCTCCTGTGGGCAGTCAGTCAGTCAGTCAGTCTCCTGTGGGCGGGCAGTCAGTCAGTCAGTCAGTCTCCTGTGGGTGGGCAGTCAGTCTCCTGTGGGCGGGCAGTCAGTCAGTGGGCGGGCAGTCAGTCAGTCAGTCAGTCTTCTGTGGTCAGTCGGTCAGTCTTCTGTGTTCCTGAAAGAATAAAGAAGGAACACATCACTCTCACCTCTCTCTTTCTTTCCCCCCGATCCCTTTCTTTATGTTTTATGTTCTTCATCTTCCCCTCCTCTTCCTCCTTCCCACTCACTGTGTTTTACCTCCATGTTGACTGCCTGTTGTCATTGTTTGTAGTTGCAAGTTGTTCAAGCCAACATTTCCACCATTGACTGCGAGGCTGTTGTTCACCCGACCAATTCCACCCTCTACACTGGTGGTGAAGTAGGTAATAGAACCCTCCCTCATCACCATGGGTACAATGTGTTACCATGCCGACACCTGTAGCAAAGCATTCCATAATGCATCTTCTTCCTCCTCTTAGACAAATTTGTTCTCAGGGTGGAATTCTAACTTTGGATGAAGTGTAATTCAGACTTTTGTGTTAATCATGCATTGATCAATAAGAGATTGACGTCAACGCATGAGAGATTGTCTGTTTATGTTTCTGGATCTGAAGTTTTGTTTCCAACAACAACCACAACAACAAAGTATAGTTGATATAGTAGTTCCTAGCCATACTATGTTTATTAAAATAAACCTTTATTGAACCACCAATTACTGTGTAACAAACTAATAACTTCCAAAGAGCAGACTTCATCATGTTTTCTTTGGTAGGCTCTGTTGTGTCACTATTGGATGAAGTAGTTGGAAGAACATGCACCAATGCTTTGTGTTTTACTAACCTCTAAAAAGCCTCAATTCGTTTTTTTTAAAATAGATGTTCTTCCATCTGCCTGCCTTTCCCTTGATTTGTTTTGTGTGGATGATTTTGTAAACACTCTGATCCATTCAACTCCTCCTCCTCCTCTCTGATTATCTGCCTGCATCACTTCCCACTGTTAGAAGGGCTGACCAGAAGGGAATCCATGCTAAATCTGAAATGTAGCACACAGGAAGTGTCTGAAAATGTCACCATCTGATCAAGTGGAAAGGAAAAGCCTACTACAGCAGCAGTAGTAGTAGTAGTAGTAGTAGCTAGATAATGACTAGTTAATAACTAGTAGTAATATTTAGTTGCTTTATACACGGAGTGTACAAAACATTAATAACAACTTCCTAATAGTGAGTTGCACCCCCCTCCTTTTGCCCTCAGAACAATTCGTCGGGGCATGGACTACATGGTGTCTAAAGCGTTCCACAGGGATGTTGGCCCATGTTGACACAGGGATGCTGGCCCATGTTGACTCCGACGCTTCCCACAGTTGTGTCAAGTTGGTGGACCATTCTTGATTCAAACAGGAAACTGTTGAGTGTGGAAAAACCTACAGTGGGGAAAAAAAAGTATTTTGTCAGCCACCAATTGTGCAAGTTCTCCCACTTAAAAAGATGAGAGAGGCCTGTAATTTTCATCATAGGTACACGTCAACTATGACAGACAAATTGAGAAAAAGAAATCCAGAAAATCACATTGTAGGATTTGTAATGAATTTATTTGCAAATTATGGTGGAAAATAAGTATTTGGTCAATAACAAAAGTTTCTCAATACTTTGTTATATACCCTTTGTTGGCAATGACACAGGTCAAACGTTTTCTGTAAGTCTTCAAGGTTTTCACACACTGTTGCTGGTATTTTGGCCCATTCCTCCATGCAGATATCCTCTAGAGCAGTGATGTTTTGGGGCTGTCGCTGGGCAACACAGACTTTCAACTACCTCCAAAGATTTTCTATGGGGTTGAGATCTGGAGACTGGCTAGGCCACTCCAGGACCTTGAAATGCTTCTTACGAAGCCACTCCTTCGTTGCCTGGGCGGTGTGTTTGGGATCATTGTCATGCTGAAAGACCCAGCCACGTTTCATCTTCAATGCCCTTGCTGATGGAAGGAGGTTTTCACTCAAAATCTCATGATACATGGCCCCATTCATTCTTTCCTTTACACGGATCAGTCGTCCTGGTCCCTTTGCAGAAAAACAGCCCCAAAGCATGATGTTTCCACCCCCATGCTTCACAGTAGGTATGGTGTTCTTTGGATGCAACTCAGCATTCTTTGTCCTCCAAACACGACGAGTTGAGTTTTTACCAAAAAGTTATATTTTGGTTTCATCTGACCATATGACATTCTCCCAATCCTCTTCTGGATCATCCAAATGCACTCTAGCAAAACTTCAGACGGGCCTGGACATGTACTGGCTTAAGCAGGGGGACACGTCTGGCACTGCAGGATTTGAGTCCCTGGCGGCGTAGTGTGTTACTGATGGTAGGCTTTGTTACTTTGGTCCCAGCTCTCTGCAGGTCATTCACTAGGTCCCCCCGTGTGGTTCTGGGATTTTTGCTCACCGTTCTTGTGATCATTTTGACCCCACGGGGTGAGATCTTGCGTGGAGCCCCAGATCGAGGGAGATTATCAGTGGTCTTGTATGTCTTCCATTTCCTAATAATTGCTCCCACAGTTGATTTCTTCAAACCAAGCTGCTTACCTATTGCAGATTCAGTCTTCCCAGCCTGGTGCAGGTCTACAATTTTGTATCTGGTGTCCTTTGACAGCTCTTTGGTCTTGGCCATAGTGGAGTTTGGAGTGTGACTGTTTGAGGTTGTGGACAGGTGTCTTTTATACTGATAACAAGTTCAAACAGGTGCCATTAATACAGGTAACGAGTGGAGGACAGAGGAGCCTCTTAAAGAAGAAGTTACAGGTCTGTGAGAGCCAGAAATCTTGCTTTTTTGTAGGTGACCAAATACTTATTTTCCACCATAATTTGCAAATAAATTCATTAAAAATCCTACAATGTGATTTTCTGGAATTTGTCTGTCATAGTTGACGTGTACCTATGATGAAAATTACAGTCCTCTCTCATCTTTTTAAGTGGGAGAACTTGCACAATTGGTGGCTGACTAAATACTTTTTTTCCCCCACTGTAGCAGCATTGCAGTTCTTAACACAAACATGTGTGCCTGGCACCTACTACCATACCCCGTTCAAAGGCACTTCAATCTTTTGTCTTGCCCATTCACCCTCTGAATGGCACACATACACAATCCATGTCTCAATTTTCTCAAGGCTTAAAAATAATTATTGAACCTGTCTCTTCCCCTTCATCTACACGGATTGAAGTGGATTTAACAAGTGACATCAATAAGGGATCATAGCTTTCACCTGGATTCACTTGGTCAGTCTGTCATGGAAAGAGCAGGTGTTCTTAATGTTTTGTACCCTCCGTGTACATGGGAACTGTGGTGAACAGTGGGGCGAAGAGATTCAGAGGTCAAATGAGAGAAGTCTTGCCTCTCTCTCACAGCTCTCACTCAGCTCAGACCCAGATGCATGTCTGCTGTCTGTCCGCTTGTCCGTCCCTCTACCTCTGTCTGTCTGTCTGCACTCACAACAACAACAACAACAACAACAACAACAACAACAACAGGAGGAGGACACTAAAGACCCCAGACTGTTTCCCTACAGGTGGTGCTCTGGAGAAGAAGGGAGGGGAGGAGTTTGTAGATGCCATGCTGGAGTTACGGAAGAAGAACGGCCCCCTGGAGGTGGCTGGAGGTAGGGAGAAACCAAGACCAACCGTTAGGATGGCTGGAGGTGGGGAGAAACCAAGACCAACCGTTAGGATGGCTGGAGGTAGGGAGAAACCAAGACCAACAGTTAGGATGGCTGGAGGTAGGGAGAAACCAAGACCAACCGTTAGGATGGCTGGAGGTAGGGAGTGTCCAGTGATTGGCACAGGTGGAAGTTCCAACTCAAACCATGATCATATTGTAGCTAACAGGCGAGGATGGACCTGCACAGCATGGGGGGTTCTGAATGACTCCTGTTAGGTCACTACATCACAACCTAATTAGATTATGAAGATTTAGGTCTGATTGTAATCAACGTTGCACCAACCTGATGAGCATCTTTTTCGTCAAGACATTTGACTCAATAGCCTATGGTTTAGGTAAGATCTAGCTGTGATCATGACATCCCTGTAAGGTAAGATCTAGCTGTGATCATGACATCCCTGTAAGGCAAGGTTCTTCAATTCCGGTCCTGGAGGGCCGAAACACTTCTGTTTTTTATTTTTTACCTGGTAGTTAATTGCACTCACCTGGTGTCCCAGGTCTGAATTAGCCCCTGATTAGAAGGAGAGGATGAAAAACAGAGGTGTTTCGGCCCTCCAGGACCGGAATTGAAGAACCCTGCTGTAAGGTAAGATCTAGCTGTGATCATGACATCCCTGTAATATCTTCAAAACCTCTTTCTTGTCCATAGACTGCTTACAGGGTAAGGAAACCAATGGAATTTTGTCATTTTGGTGAACTATCTCTTTAATCCTGAAACATTTGAAGAGCGACTGATGAAAAAGACAATCATAATTAACACCCCCTCTATACGTCATTCATCATTAACTCACCCTCTGTACAGTGAGTCATTCATCATTAACTCACCCTCTGTACAGTGAGTCATTCATCATTAACTCACCCTCTGTACAGTCAGTCAGTCATCATTAACTCCCCCTCTATACAGTCAGTCAATAACTCCCCCTCTATACAGTCAGTCAGTCATCATTAACTCCCCCTCTATACAGTCAGTCAGTCATCATTAACTCCCCCTCTACACAGTCAGTCATCAATTACTCTCCCTCTATACAGTCAGTCATCATTAATAATCCCTCTATACAGTCAGTCATCATTAACTCTCCCTCTATACAGTCAGTCAGTCATCATTAACTCTCCCGCTATACAGTCACAGTCATCATAAACTCTCCCTCTATACAGTCAGTCAGTCATCATTAACTCTCCCTCTATACAGTCAGTCAGTCATCAATTACTCTCCCTCTATACAGTCAGTCATCATTAATAATCCCTCTATACAGTCAGTCATCATTAACTCTCCCTCTATACAGTCAGTCATCAATTACTCTCCCTCTATACAGTCAGTCATCATTAACTCTCCCTCTATACAGTCAGTCAGTCAGTCATCATTAACTCCCCCTCTATACAGCCAGTCAGTCATCATTAACTCTCCATCTATAAAATCAGTCAGTCATCATTAACTCTCCCTCTATACAGTCAGTCAGGCATCATTAACTCTCCCTCTCTACAGTCAGTCAGGCATCATTAACTCCACTTCTCTACAGTCAGTCATCATTAATAATCCCTCTATACAGTCAGTCATCATTAACTCCCCCTCTATACAGTCAGTCAGTCATCATTAACTCTCCCTCTATACAGTCAGTCAGGCATCATCATTAACTCTCCCTCTATACAGTCAGTCATCATTAATAATCCCTCTATACAGTCAGTCATCATTAACTCTCCCTCTATACAGTCAGTCAGTCATCATTAACTCTCCCTCTATAAAGTCAGTCATCATTAACTCTCCCTCTATAAAGTCAGTCATCATTAACTCCCCCTCTATACAGTCAGTCATCATTAACTCCCCCTCTATACAGTCAGTCATCATTAACTCCCCCTCTATACAGTCAGTCAGGCATCATTAACTCTCCCTCTATACAGTCAGTCAGTCATCATTAACTCTCCCTCTATACAGTCAGTCAGTCATCATTAACTCCCCCTCTATACAGTCAGTCATCATTAACTCCCCCTCTATACAGTCAGTCATCATTAACTCTCCCCCTATACAGTCAGTCAGGCATCATTAACTCTCCCTCTATACAGTCAGTCAGTTATCATTAACTCCCTCTATAAAATCAGTCAGGCATCATTAACTCTCCCTCTATACAGTCAATCAGGCATCATTAACTCCACTCGTCTACAGTCAGTCATCATTAATAATCCCTCTATACAGTCAGTCATCATTAACTCCCCCTCTATACAGTCAGTCAGTCATCATTAACTCCCCCTCTATACAGTCAGTCAGTCATCATTAACTTTCCCTATATACAGTCAGTCATCATTAAATCTCCCTCTATACAGTCAGTCATCATTAAATCTCCCTCTATACAGTCAGTCATCATTAACTCTCCCTCTATAAAGTCAGTCATCATTAACTCCCCATCTATACAGTCAGTCATCATTAACTCCCCCTCTATACAGTCAGTCATCATTAACGCCCCCTCTATACAGTCAGTCATCATTAACTCCCCCTCTATACAGTCAGTCAGTCATCATTAACTCCCCCTCTATACAGTCAGTCAGTCATCATTAACTCTCCCTCTATACAGTCAGTCAGTCATCATTAACTCCCTTTATACACTGTCAGTCATCATTAACTCCCCCTCTATACACTCAGTCAGTCATCATTAACTCCCCTCTATACAGTCAGTCATCATTAACTCCCCCTCTATACAGTCAGTCAGTCATCATTAACTCCCCCTCTATACAGTCAGTCAGTCATCATTAACTCCCCCTCTATACAGTCAGTCAGTCATCATTAACCCCCCTCATTACCCCCCTCCGTCAGTCATCATCTTAACTCCCCCTCTATTACAGTCAGTCAGTCATCATTAACTCCCCCTCTATACAGTCAGTCAGTCATCATTAACTCCCCCTCTATACAGTCAGTCAGTCATCATTAACTCCCCCTCTATACAGTCTGTCAGTCATCATTAACTCCCCCTCTATACAGTCTGTCAGTCATCATTAACTCTCCCTCTATACAGTCAGTCAGTCATCATTAACTCTCCCTCTATACCTCAGTCAGTCATCATTAACTCTCCCCTCTATACCTCAGTCAGTCATCATTAACTCCCCCTCTATACAGTCAGTCAGTCTCATTAACTCCCCCTCTATACAGTCAGTCAGTCATCATTAACTCCCCCTCTATACAGTCACGTCAGTCATCATTAAACTCCCCCTCTATACCAGTCAGTCAGTCATCATTAACTCCCCCTCTATACAGTCAGTCCAGTCATCATTAACTCCCCCTCTATACAGTCAGTCCGTCATCATTAACTCCCCCTCTATACAGTCTGTCAGTCATATTAACTCCCCCTCTATACAGTCTGTCAGTCATCATTAACTCCCCCTCTATACAGTCTGTCAGTCATCATTAACTCCCCCTCTATACAGTCTGTCAGTCATCATTAACTCCCCCTCTATACAGTCAGTCAGTCATCATTAACTCCCCCTCTATACAGTCAGTCAGTCATCATTAACTCCCCCTCTATACAGTCAGTCAGTCATCATTAACTCCCCCTCTATACAGTCAGTCAGTCATCATTAAACTCCCCTCTATACAGTCGTTCAGTCATCATTAACTCCCCCTCTATACAGTCTGTCAGTCATCATTAACTCTCCCTCTATACAGTCAGTCAGTCATCATTAACTCTCCCTTTATACACTCAGTCATTCATCATTAACTCCCCCTCTATACAGTCAGTCAGTCATCATTAACTCCCCTTCTATACAGTCAGTCATCATTAACTCCCCCTCTATGACTGATACAGTCAGTCAGTCAGTCATCATGAACTCTCCCTCTATAAAATCAGTCAGTCATTCCCCCCCCCCCCCTCCCCCCCATATCCTTATTAACATGAACTCTCTCTTTATACACTGTCAGTCATCAATTACTACCCCTCTATACAGTCAGTCATCATTTAACTCCCCTCTATACAGTCAGTCATCATTAACTCCCCCTCTATACAGTCAGTCAGTCATCATCTTAACTCCCCTCTATACAGTCAGTCATCATTAACTCCCCTCTATACATCAGTCATCATCATTAACTCCCCTCTATACAGTCAGTCATCATTAACTCCCCTCTATACAGTCAGTCATCATTAACTCCCCTCTATACAGTCAGTCATCATTAACTCCCTCTCTATACATCGTCATTCATCATTACTCCCCTCTATACAGTGTCATATTAACTCCCCTCTATACATCAGTCAGTCATCATTAACTCCCTCTATACAGTCAGTCATCATTAAACTCCCCCTCTATACAGTCAGTCAGTCATCATTAACTCTCCCTCTATACAGTCAGTCAGTCATCATTAACTCCTTCTATACATCGTCAGTCATCATTACTCTCCCTCTATACAGTCAGTCATCATTAACTCCCCCTCTATACAGTCAGTCATCATCATTAACTCTCCCTCTATACAGTCGTCAGTCATCATTAACTCTCCCTCTACAGTCAGTCAGTCATCATTAACTCCCCCTCTATACATCGTCAGTCATCATTAACTCCCCTCTATACAGTCAGTCAGTCAATTAACTCCCCTTACACCGTCAGTCAGTCATCATTAACCCCCTCTATACAGTCAGTCATCATTAACTCCCCTCTAGTCAGTCATCATAACTCCCTCTTACGTCAGTCATCATTAACTCTCCCTCTATACAGTCAGTCAGTCATCATTAACTCCCCTCTATAGCAGTCAGTCATCATTAACTCCCCTCTACAGTCAGTCAGTCATCATTAACTCCCCCCTATTACAGTCGTCAGTCATCTTAACTCCCTCTATACAGTCAGTCAGTCATCATTAAATCCCCTCTATAAGTCAGTCATCATTAACTCCCCCTATATACAGTCAGTCATCATTAACTCCCCCTCTATTACAGTCAGTCAGTCATCATTAACTCCCTCTATACAGTCGTCAGTCATCATTAACTCCCCCTAAACGTCAGTCAGTCATCATTAACTCCCCTCTATACAGTCAGTCATCATTAACTCCCCCTCTATACAGTCAGTCAGTCATCATAACTCCCCTCTATACAGTCAGTCAGTCATCATTAACTCTCCCTCTATACAGTCAGTCAGTCATCATTAACTCCCCTCTATACATCAGTCATTCATCATTAACTCTCCCTCTATACAGTCTGTCAGTCATCATTAACTCCCCTCTATACATGTCAGTCATCATTAACTCTCCCTCTATACAGTCAGTCAGTCATCATTAACCTCCCTTTATACAGTCAGTCATCATTAACTCCTCCCCTATACAGTCAGTCATCATTAACTCTCCCTCTACACAGTCAGTCATCATTAACTCCCCTCTTACACTCAGTCATCATTACTCCCCTCTATACAGTCAGTCAGTCATCATTAACTCCCCTCTAACAAGTCAGTCATCATTAACTCCCCTCATACAGTCAATTTCAGTCATTAACTCTCCCTCTATACAGTCAGTCATCATTAACTCCCCTCTTTACAATCAGTCAGTCATCATTACCTCTCCCTCTATACAGTCAGTCAGTCATCATGAACTCTCCCTATAATCAGTCATATCATTAACTCTCCCTCTATACAGTCAGTCAGTAACATTAACTCTCCCCTTAACATTCAGTCATCATTAACTCCCCTCTATACAGTCAGTCATCATTAACTCCCCCCTATACAGTCAGTCATCATTAACTCTCCCTCTATACAGTCAGTCATCATTAACTCTCCCTCTATTCATCAGTCAGTCATCATTAACTCTCCCTCTATACAGTCAGTCAGTCATCATGAACTCTCCCTCTATACAGTCTCAGTCATCATTAACTCTCCCTCTACACAGTCAGTCATCATTACTCTCCCCTTACACAGTCATCATTAACTCTCCCTTAACATCAGTCAGTCATCATTAACTCCCTCTATACAGTCAGTCAGTCATTAACTCTCCCCTATACAGTCAGTCATCATATAACTCTCCCCTATACAGTCAGTCATCATTAACTCTCCCTCTATACAGTCACAGATCATTAACTCTCCCTCTATACACAGTCATCATTAACTCTCCCTCTACAGTCAGTCAGTCATCATTACCTCTCCCGCTATACAGTCATTCTGTCAGTCATCATTAACTCTCCCTCTATACAGTCAAGTCATCATTAACTCTCCCCTAAGCATCAGTCAGTCATCATTAATTCCCCCTCTATACAGTCAGTCATCATTAACTCCCTCTATACAGTCAGTCATCATTAACTCTCCCTCTATATCAGTCAGTCATCATTAAACTCTCCCTCTATACAGTCAGATCATTAACTCTCCCCTCTATACATCAGTCATCATCATATAACCTCCTCCCCTCATTACATCATCAGTCAGTAACTTCTTAACTCCACCTTAACAGTCAGTCATCATTAACTCCCCCTCTATACAGCAGTCATCATTAATCCCCTTATCAGTCAGTCAGTCATCATTAACTCCCCCTCTATCAGTCAGTCATCATTAACTCCCCTCTGTAAAGTCAGTCATCACTCCCCTCTAGTCATCGTCATCATTAACCTCCCCTTATACAGCTCAGTCATCATTACTCTCCCCTATAATCAGTCAGTCAGTCATTAACTCTCCCTCTATACAGTCAGTCAGTCTCATTAATCCCCTCATACGTCAGTCTCATTAATCCCTTATTACAGTCAGTCAGTCACATTAACTCCCCCTCTATACAGTCAGTCATCACTTAACTCCCCTCTATACAGTCAGTCATCATTAACTCTCCCTCTATACAGTCAGTCAGTCATCATTAACTCTCCCTTTAGTCAGTCAGTCATCATTAACTCTCCCTCTATAATGTCAGTCATCATAACTCTCCTCTATACAGTCGTCAGTCATTATTAAACTCCCCTCTATACAGTCAGTCAGTCATCATTAACTCCCCCTCTATACAGTCAGTCAGTCATCATTTAACTCTCCCCCTCTATACGTCAGTCAGTCGTCATTAACTCTCCCTCTATACAGTCAGTCAGTCATCATTAACTCCCCCTCTATACAGTCAGTCAGTCATCATTAACTCTCCCCTCTATACAGTCAGTCAGTCAGTCATTAACTCCCCTCTAACAGTCAGGTCGATCATTAACTCCCTCTATACAGTCAGTCAGTCATCATTAACTCTCCCTCTATACAGTCAGTCAGTCATCATTAACTCTCCCTCATACAGTCAGTCAGTCATCATTAATCCCCTCTTACAGTCAGTCAGTCATCATTAACTCTCCCTCTATACAGTCAGTCAGTCTCATTAACTCCCCCTCTATACAGTCAGTCAGTCATCATTAACTCCCCTCTATACAGTCAGTCAGGTATCATTAACTCCCCTCTCATAGGTCAGTCCAGTCATCATAACTCCCCCTCTATACAGTCAGTCAGTCATCATTAACTCCCCCTCTATACAGTCAGTCAGTCATCATTAACTCCCCCTCTATACAGTCAGTCAGTCATCATTAACTCCCCCTCTATACAGTCAGTCAGGCATCATTAACTCTCCCTCTATACATCAGTCAGTCATCAGTTCCCCTTATACAGTCAGTGTCAGCTCATTAACTCTCCCTCTATACAGTGTCAGTCATCATTAACTCTCCCTCTATACAGTCAGTCAGTCATCATTAACTCTCCCTCTATACAGTCAGTCAGTCATCATTAACTCTCCCTCTATACAGTCAGTCAGTAAATGCGCTCAGTAAATCATGTTCAAGTCACACCATATCTGGCTCTCCGCCTCCATCTGGAGATCAACTTTTTTGGTTAACTTTGTCTTAAGCCAGTCCAGGCCAGTCACACGCTCACAGAGGCCTAATGAAGTCCAAATGGAGGGTATTTCACTTCACAGCATCAGGGCTTTCAGATGAGTTAGTGTGGGGAGAGGGGGAGGGGGCTTTCCTGATGCTGTGTGCTCCAGAGATGAACACAGTCACTCAATTACCTCCAGCCCTGAGGGGGGGGGGAAAGTGTCTCTCTCTCTCTCCTTCCCTCCCCCTTGCCTCTCTCTTTCTCTGGCGGCCCACCTTTCATGCGGCTTCCAAGAGCTCAGTCCCTCTGGAGAATTGATTTCTCCAACCCTCCTCGTCTATTTCCCTGGTATCAGCAGCATCAAGCTATCGGAGCATTCCCCCCTCCCCCCTTCTTTCTCTTCTCTCTTTCCTTATTCATTATTTGACATGAATGTTGTAATTGTGTATCGTGAGTGTGAATTTGCAATATGTCAGTATTTTGGAATTCTTCTGTCAGTTTTCTTCACACTTAGGGGAAAATTCAACACATGCGGAAGAAGGCTAATACTCATTTCTGTCTCACTTTCTCTCTCTCTCCTCTCTGTTTCTCTCTCTCCTCTCTGTTTCTCTCTCTCCTCTCTGTTTCTCTCTCTCTCCTCTCTGTTTCTCTCTCTCTCTTCTGCCTCTCTGTCTTCATCTGGTAGCGGTGCTGTCCTCTGGCTATGGACTCCCTGCCAAGTTTGTGATCCACTGCAACAGTCCAGGCTGGGGTTCGGACAAGTGTGAGGAACTGCTGGAGAAGACTGTGAAGAACTGCCTGGCCCTGGCTGACGAGAAGAAGCTCAAGTCTGTGGCCTTCCCTTCGATTGGCAGTGGAAGGTACTATATAACCTCCCCTCCCCTAGCAACAAGCCTCAACACGCTCCTAAGGCCTTTGTGTCTCCATGGTATCCATCCACATGGTTATCACCATGATGCTTGTCACCATGAAAAGCATGCTACTTCATTTTACTGTTTTGGTTGAAGTAATGGTTGTCACATTAAGGTATGATCCATACGTTGGTATAGTAGTATGTAATATGGCTTGCTGTGATACAGTAAAAATGTATGCACACATGACTGTAAAAGTCGCTTTGGATAAAAGCGTCTGCTAAATGGCATTATTATTATTATTATTATTATTATTATTATTATTATTATTATTATTATTATTGTGATGTATTGAAAATGACTATCACTTTAGGATGTCAATTCACCAACCTTAACAGTCCCATTTCTCCTGATAACTTAAGGAAAAGCTTTACAACTAACAATTTGACACTTACTGTCGTCATAATCAGTTATTTGACCCTTTTGTCCTGATCTTCATCTACTCATGAATGGTTTGTTTTAGTTTTTCTATATTGCTTGTCTCTTTCCCCCCCTCGATATTCTTTATGTAATGAAAAGCGCTATAAAAGTGAAATAAATGAATATAATTGTATTATTATTATTTCTTCCCTCAGGAATGGCTTCCCGAAGCAGACGGCTGCCCAGCTCATTTTGAAAGCCATCTCCAGCTACTTTGTTGCCACCATGTCCTCTTCCATCAAGACGGTTTACTTTGTGCTGTTCGACAGCGAGAGCATAGGGATCTATGTGCAGGAAATGGCCAAGCTCGACACAAACTAAGCTACCTCCCCATTGCATTACTACAGGCTTGTTTTGGATTTTTTTTTTGGAGAGAAAAATTAAAGATGTTTACCAGTGATAAAAAAAAAATAAAAATAAAAACTTTATTGAGAGGAAATTATTTGGATTATATTTTATTTTATTTTATTTGTTGAGATATATCCTTGAAGTTGTTGTTTGACATGGAGTTCAGATGTCACTCTGTCCCTGGTGGCGTCAGACCCGGGTCCCGCTCAGAAGGGCACAAACGTTCTGAATGTTGTCTTCTCTCTGACATGATTCCCCTTTATTGTACACGACAGAGTCTGTTCTGTTTGTTTCTATCTGAATGTTCTGTAATGTTGCGTCGCACTGAGCAAGGCCCTGTTCGATCAGGATGGTGGTACTTAAGTTCCTTGTGCTAAAAATTGAAGTTCTATGTGCTAATGATTACTTAAGTTCCTTGTGCTAAAACTGAAGTTCTGTGGGCTAATTATTACTTAAGTTCTGTGTGCTAAAACTGAAAGGGTTGCATTCCAAGTGTTTGCAATACTGTGGTAGAGATTTGTCTCTAAATTTGTCTCTTTTTTAATTGGAACAGAACGTTTTATGTTCATGATGTATTACCAGTGGTATACACTAGATGGAGTGTGTGAAATGTTTTAGTAAAATATTACAGTGACAAGGTTTTCCTTTTTTTAAACGGTTAGTTTTTATTCTGATTTTCACTTTGCCAACTCTAAAAGAAAAACTTATTTGAAAAGAAAATAGTTATTTGTGTTTTTATTGAGCTATAAAGCTATTGACATAATATAGCATTTTGTTTGAGGAGTTGAAAGAAGTTGTACAGGCTTTTGCTCACAGGCAATTAGTCCTCTATGCTCACAGGCAATTAGTCCCCTCTCTGCTCACATGCAATTAGTCCCCTCTCTGCTCACAGGCAATTAGTCCCCTCTCTGCTCACAGGCAATTAGTCCCCTCTCTGCTCACATGCAATTAGTCCCCTCTCTGCTCACAGGCAATTAGTCCTCTCTCTGCTCACATGCAATTAGTCCCCTCTCTGCTCACAGGCAATTAGTCCCCTCTCTGCTCACATGCAATTAGTCCCCTCTCTGCTCACATGCAATTAGTCCCCTCTCTGCTCACAGGCAATTAGTCCTCTCTTTGCTCACATGCAATTAGTCCTCTCTCTGCTCACATGCAATTAGTCCCCTCTCTGCTCACAGGCAATTAGTCCTCTCTTTGCTCACATGCAATTAGTCCCCTCTCTGCTCACAGGCAATTAGTCCTCTCTTTGCTCACAGGCAATGAGTCCTCTCTTTGCTCACAGGCAATGAGTCCTCTCTCTCTCACCAGTAGATGGCTCCCTATCGTCAGGAGTGGGGTCTTTCACAGAGCCATTTTGTGCTGGAAAGACCTCTTTTCATTAAGATGTCCAAAATGAAGTGTCTGATACAATGAGTGGATCAGAATGGATGCTGCATTAACTAATTGCTGTAAGCACCACTTGCGTTTTGGAATATTCAATATCTTTCTAATGATGACTTGAAGAAAAATAAAAGCTTTCTTAATATTGCAAAACATGAAAATACAGGACTATCCAATCCAGTAACATATATTGAAAACAATGTTTTTTTTATACTCTCTAGTAACTAATGTAACCATATCAGAAAGTGTGTGCGTGTGTGTCTGTCTGTGTGAATGAGCGAGCATGGAGGACTAGCTGTTGTAGCCTACTACCATTTTAAGTAGTGTGAAGGCGGTGGGCGCAGAGACCCTAGGCCTCGGTCTCATCCTGGGGCTATGTTGGCAGGGCGCTCTGAGGACCAGGAGTCAGACGGGGGTCACTTTCCCAGCGCCACAGTGAGAGAGAGAGAGGGAGGCAGAGACCCAGGACCTCCTCGAAGGGCGCCCATCTGACGACTAATCCCCAGGAAATACAGGCAAGGTCCCCCCCCCCCCCCCCCCCCCCCCCCCCCCCCCCCCTCCTCTCGCAGGGAAAGCTCTGTAAATTCAAAGCATCTGTACAAGGCCGGGGCCAGTCCTCCGCCCTGTGAACAGGGCCGCGTTCCCAGAGTCCCTTGCAGATTTAAATTGTATTCTTTGCGAGAGAGAAAAAATTACAGAGTGAAAAAAAAACTAAATAAAGTAAAACAAACACTGGCGAAGATCAAGGATGTTAAGAAGCTGGTCATCAAAGATCTTGCCAGTGTTCGTGAAAGGAATGTAATGCGTCCTTCATTATGCTGTGGGACCCTCTCTCAGATACATACACCAGCCCCTGTTCAAACCACTGGTGATTTATCTTAATTACTCCGTGTTTCTGCTAAAGTGTTTTTGGGTTCCACTGGATTGTTTTCTGTCAATGTATGCAAGCGTCAGTCATTTGAAAAGAGCTGGATATTGGTGAATGTGGCGGAGGTTGTGTGCCTGGTATGAAGTTGGAGCTGATCCTGGCCTAGTCTTATGTGGTCTGTGTCATGTGAGGACTTGGAGTTTTGTTGTATTTTTATTCGCCCGCATCATGTTCTGTGCGAAATGGCAATATGAATGGAGAACCAGTTCTTCCTGACTCTCCAATCATATGAAAGTATTGAAAAGGAATTCCTACCTAAAGTGGTAGAGCTAAGTAGAGAACAGTCAGTGGCTAAGTAGCAGTAGGGAGTAGGTTTCCTATCCAATATGGCCACCCTGCTTACATAGATACAGTACCTTCTTCCACTACCGTTGAGAACATATCGGATCTACTAAGCTTTCATGGAACTCACGGAACTGGGAACTCCAGTTCCATCCACAGCCAAAAACGATGGGCCGAAGGGAAAGTTACACGAAAGTAGTGAAGGAGGGAGTGGCACTTCTTAGCAACTGTCACTCTGCCATGCCTGCCTGTGTTTTGCTTGTGTTTCTGGGCCTGCGGTCTCCGAGCGTCAGCGTATGAATTAGGAGGAACAGCCAGAGTGTTGCCACTCGTCTCCAAACACCAGCAAAGGGTTAAGGCAGATCTCAGGCTTCGCCCCGTCGCACTGTGGACCAGTCAGCACAGGAAACCTGATAGTTTTGTTCGTTTTGATGGCCTGATTCCCTGGCTTACAATAATAAATTAAATGCAATCCCAGCTAGACCTCAGCTGCAATGGAGGGGCATACTGCTTTATTTTCTTCATCTGGGGAGTTTAAAGCCAACCTCTCCCCCCCCCCCCCCCGCTGGACCCCAACAAGCCAACCACAAGGAGGATTGGGAATATTGCAGCCCATATTCTGGTTTTTTAAACCTTGCAAAATGGCCGAGAGAGCCACCAGCTCTAACGCTAGGGGAGAGAGGAGAAAACAGCACCACAGTCTAACGCTTGAGGAGAATAACAGCCACCAGTATAAGCTAGGGGAGGATAACAGCACCAGTCTAACGCTAGGGGAGAATAACAGCATCCGTCTAACGCTAGGGGAGAATAACAGCACAGTCTTAACGCTAGGGGAGAAGAACAGCACCAGTCGAACGCTAGGGGAGAATAACAGCCACCAGTCTTAAACGCTAGGGGAGAATAACAGCACCAGTCTAACGCTAGGGGAGAATAACAGCACCAGTCTAACGCTAGGGGAGAATAACAGCACCAGTCTAACGCTAGGGGAGAATAACAGCACCAGTCTAACGCTAGGGGAGAATAACAGCACCAGTCTAACGCTAGGGGAGAATAACAGCACCAGTTTAACGCTAGGGGAGAATAACAGCACCAGTCTAACGCTAGGGGAGAATAACAGCACCAGTCTAACGCTAGGGGAGAATAACAGCACCAGTCTAACGCTAGAGGAGAATAACAGCACCAGTCTAACGCTAGGGGAGAATAACAGCACCAGTCTAACGCTAGGGGAGAATAACAGCACCAGTCTAACGCTAGGGGAGAATAACAGCACCAGTCTAACGCTAGGGGAGAATAACAGCACCAGTCTAACGCTAGGGGAGAATAACAGCACCAGTCTAACGCTAGGGGAGAATAACAGCACCAGTCTAACGCTAGGGGAGAATAACAGCACCAGTCTAACGCTAGGGGAGAATAACAGCACTGTAGAATGTGTTTAGACTTCAGATATCTGTGTGTTGCCGATCACGGCCCATGTGACTGTACAGCGGCGTTGGGAGAACAACAAACGGCGCCAGAACAACAAACGGCGCCAGAACAACAAACTGCGCCAGAACAACAAACGGCGCCAGAACAACAAACTGCGCCAGAACAACAAGCACTTGGGTTCCCAGTGCTGGACAGAGACTCCCACTCCACATTAGTGTTGCTGTCTCCCTGTCTGTTACAGCACTGTTAGTGCATATCTACGTAGTTTATTAGGGAAACTAGGCCTCATTTGGTGTCTGTTTCAGGAGTTGCAGAGCTGGCAATATACAGTTGAAGTAGGAAGTTGACATACACCTTATACATTTAAACTCAGTTTTTCACAATTCCTGACATTTAATCCTAGTAATAATTCCCTGTCTTAGGTCAGTTAGGGTCACCACTTTATTTTAAGAATGTGAAATGTCAGAATAATAGTAGAGAGAATTATATATTTCAGCTTTTATTTCTTTCATCACATTCCCAGTGGGATCAGAAGTTTACATACACTCAATTAGTATTTGGTAGCATTGCCTTTAAATTGTTTAACTTGGGTCAAATGTTTCGGGTAGCCTTCCACAAGCTTCCCACAATAAGTTAGGTGAATTTTGGCCCATTCCTCCTGACAGAGCTGGTGTAACTGAGTCAGGTTTGTAGGCCTCCTTGCTCACACACGCTTTTTCAGTTCTGCCCACAGATTTTCTATAGGATGAGGTCAGGGATTTGTGATGGCCACTCCAATACCTTGACTTTGTTGTCCTTAAGCCGTTTTGCCACAACATTGGAAGTATGCTTGGAAGAATGCATTGTCCATTTGGATGACCCATTTGCGACCAAGCTTTAACTTCCTGACTGATGTCTTGAGATGTTGCTTCAATATATCCACATAATTTTCCTTCTTCATGATGCCATCTATTTTGTG